TTTGGAAAAAAAAAAAAGCGGGGAACAGCTTTGCTGGCCCAGTGGAGCCTGGTGGAACCACTGAGACTATGGCCCCAAGCTGACCTTCAGGTCTGGAATTGAACACACACCTGTAGCTTCCAGCCAAGCAGTAGACAGGAATATCAGTTGAGCATTTACCTGAGGTAGATACACTCCTTGGAGAGAACAAGCAAGAGAGAAAGAAGGGCTGCTCAGGCACAGGGAGACAGTTCAGGGGGCAGGAGTGCATGGAGGGATGGTCACAGGGAAGCGGTACCTATCGGGAGGAAGTGGGAGAGGAGATGTTGATTGTGCTAAATTGTGGTCAGTGTCATGAGACAAAGTGTATGTGATCTGCTATATGGAAAGCATTTGCTCTGTAAATTTTCATCCAAATCACAATAAAAATTAAAAAAAAAAAATTAAAGTTTGGATAGAAAGAACAAAAGTCTCCATCTATTTTAATCATCAAAGATGTTGACTGTAGAAAACTCCAACACTTTAACAACAGAAAGACAAACAATCCACTTAAAAAATGGACAGAAGACGTGAGTAGACACTTCACCAAAGAAGATATTCAGGTGGCTAACAAACACATGAAGAAATGTTCATGATCATTAGCCATTAAAGAGAAGCAAATCAAAACAACAATGAGACCATCTGGCCCTGGCACTAATAACCAAATTGAACAAGACAGAAAATAACCAATGCTGGTGAGGATGTGGAGATAGTGGGACTCTGTTACACTGCTGGTAAGACTATAAAACGATACAACCACTGTGGAAAGCAGTATGGTGATTTCCTTAAAAAGTTGGAATTAGAAATACCATTTGATCCAGCAATCCCATTACTAGGTATATATCTTAAAGAAGTGAGAGCCAGGACAAAAACAGATATATGCACACCCATGTTCATCACAGCACTGTTTACAGTAGCAAAAAGATGAAACAACCTATGTGCCCATCAACAGAAGAATGGATAACCAAACTATGGTACATACACACAATGGAATACTATGCAACACTAAAGAATAATTTAGAATCTCTAAAACACTCCATAACATGGATGAATTTGGAGGACATTGTACTGAATGAAATAAGTCAATCACAGAAGGACAAATACTATATTAGTTCATTAGTGTAAAAGTCAAGGGAAGGTTTATATATAGAACAAAACTTTTTTTTTTTGGTTACCAGGGGTGGGAGGGGAGGGAAGGGAACAGTGTTAGATAGGTAGAGACAAGTATTAATTTGGGTGAAGGGAAGGGCAGTGTACCAAATGTGAATGATCAACACAGTAGCATTGGGGAAGAGGACAACAGAGAGAGGTACATGAGATGAATCCTTTTGCGTATATAGTACTGCATTGTCAGTGATGGCAAACATTAATCTACAGGTGGATAAATGGGTAGACAGGCTGAAAAAATTT